ATGTTTGTCATATATGGCCTTTAACATGTTGAGGTATGTTCCCTCTATTCTGACTTTGCTGAGAGTTTCTATCATAAATAGATGCTGGATTTTGTTGAGCATTTTTTCTGCATCTATGGATATAATCATATGATTTTTATCTTTCGATTTGTTAATGTGGTGTATCACATTAATTAATTTGCAGATATTGTACCAACCTTGCATCCCAGGCATAAATCCAACTTGATCATGGTGTCTAATATTTGAATGTATTGCTGAATTCAGTTTGCTAATATTTTGTTGAGGATTTTTGCATCAATGTTCATAAGAGAGATTGGCCTATAGTTTCCTTTTTTTGAAATGTCTTTGTCTGGTTTTGCGATCAAGGTGCTGGTGGCCTCATAAAAGGAATTAGGAAGCCTTCCCTTTTCTTGAATTTTTTGGAATAGTTTGAGAGGAATAAGTGTTAATTCTTCTTTGAATGTTTGATAAAATTCGCCTATGAAACCATCTGGTCCAGGACTTTTTTTGTGGGGGAAGGAGTTTTTTGATTACGGATTCCATTTCATTGGTGGTAATCACTCAGTTCAAATTTTCTGTTTCTTCTTGACTCAGTCTTGGGAGATTGTATGTTTCTAGGAATGTATCCATTTCATCCAAATTGTCCAATTTGTTGGCGTATAATTGCTCATAGTATTTTCTCATGATCCTTTGTATTTCTGTGGAGTCCATAGTTATTTCTCCTCTTTCATTTCTGATTTTATTTATTTGAGTTCTCTTTCTTTCTTCATTGATGAGTCTGGTTAAGGGTTTATGAATTTTGTTTATCCCTTTGAAGAACCAACTCTTGGTTTCATTAATCATTCGTATTGTTTTTGTAGACTCTTTTTCATTTATTTCTGCTCTGATCTTTATTATTTCCTTCCTTCTACTCACTTTGGCCTTTGTTTGTTGTTCTTTTTCTAGTTTTTTAAGTGTAAGGTTAGATTGCTTATTTGAGCTTTTTCTTATTTCTTGAGGCAGGCCTGTATTGCTATGAATTTCCCTCTTAGGACTACTTTTAGCTGTGTCCCATAGATTTTGACATTGTTGATTCTTTAGTGATTATCTTGGGCCTTATATTTTCTGTCTTTTTATACCAGAACTGAAAAGTCTCAAAAGGCTGGAGTTGGAATTTAAATTTTGAACAAGCTTGACAATAATCAGACACAACAAAAAAGCTAAGGAGACAAAAAAGACCATGCTTATTAGTACCTTATTCTCTAGGTCTCACAGAATTTACTACCCTTACACTTATGCTATTTCTTCTTCTTGCTGCCTAATGACATTTTAAAAAATGACACACCCCTGGTCATGCCTCACTCACCATGAATTTCAAAAGAAAAGAAAATGAGATCTGAAAGACATTTGACTGGGATCTCCAAACACAGAATGTGTTAAATAGCTGTGTAGCTGATTACAGGTTTTTTCCCTTTCTTCTTTTTCCTTTTAATACATAGGTTTGTATCACTACCTTTTCAATTTAATGGAAATGTTTACATCAACAGCTTTTATTATATTGAGTAGTGCATACTAAGAATCGGGGTACATGTATCATAGTACATATACTTGCTTTCTCTCACATCAGATTCGTTCAGCAAATATTTCTTAAGCAATAAATAAATTTCTTGGGCCTTTTAAGTGGAAAACTACTGTTAGGTGGAAATAGGATATGCTGCTTAAGATCTGGCCTCCACTTCAAGAAGCTTTTAGTCTAGCTGGTGAGACAAAATTGAAATATGTGAGAAGAGTGACATGTTTAAATCATGAGCTATAGACAACACAGAAGAAATCAGTTGCATTTAGCTTCTTTTTACATTCGCCGTCAGTAAGAGTCCCAGTTCCTCTTATACTCCTTGAGCTGAGGGTATTTGTGTATTTCTTGGCCCCGTGTCCTACTTCTAATCTGTTGCCAAGAGAGCTGTTTTTCTATGTTGCACTGCCAGTACAGCATTAGGGACCCCTCTTTCATACCATGGGGGATGGGACTATTTTTCAGGTCCAAGAATACCGAGAGGCCCTGGAGGGAATATTGATCAGGGGCAAGAACGGGATCCACCTGCTGCCAGAACTCTATGCCATCCCACCTAACAAGGTAAGCAGGCACTGCTTATCAGGAGCAAAGCAAGTTGGTGCTTGGCCTTTTGGTATTTTTCATCTCCCTTCCAGACCTAATACTTTTTCTCCAAGAGAAGTGGATTGTAAAGCCTTCGGTAGTGCTCCTGTCTTTCACAGGAGTTATGGCTTAGGAGCCATGCTTGACCAGGGGTGCCCAAGGGACCTTCAAAGGATACCTGTTTATCACCTGAGCCCAAGGCCAAATGAGCCCCCCAAAGCATGAAACACTGTTGGGTACTAGGTTCTCACACACTTCCACAGAAGAAACCAGGCAGAATCTCCCTGGGGAAGGGTGAGAGATGTGTGGAAATAGTTGAGAGTCTCTTCCTTTGAGTCAAGCCATTCCCACGCCTAGAGCTTGAGTAATCACTTAGAAGCCATTCTGTATCAAGGAGAGAGAAACTGGCCAGTTCCAGAAAGATGCCCCAAAGATAGTTTCATCCTATCCAGTTACTAAATTGGGCGACTATGGATGGACCTATACATCTTGGTGAGAACACTTCCCTATACATGTCTCATGTTTAGAAGAAAAGAATTCTTGATTCAAGACAATTTGTCCTTCAGATGTTCCTATTGCTTCAGAGCTTCTTGTTGCATTTGTGGAGGAAGAGACTTCAGAGAACAGCATCTTCTCCACAATTGACAGGGCCTTCAGGAGACGGTAACCCAGCAGAAGCTGTCATGCCACAGCTTTGGTTTAAGAGTTCCGTGGTTGAATCGGGCCCACAGGCACATGGTCAGGGGACTGGTAGGGCCTCTGAAATTGCGTGCCTCCACCCAAAGTGGTTCTTGAACCTGTCAGGGCTCAGATAGCACTGGATTCTGCCTGGGACCACACCCCAGATTCAGTGCCTCCCCCACAACCCTCCACTGCCTCCTAATGGATGATACATCTTCAAGTGATGGAGAGTCCCTCACTACAGATCAGGCCATGTTGTCTATAGGAGCTCTTTGCTCTCTAAGTGTCAGAGACCTAGATTTCCTGCAAATGTATTTATTTTACTATGTGTGAAGTGTACGTGTTGGTGGTAAAGGGCTGACAGTGGGGGCTGGATAGTTATTTTTTAGCAACTACTTTTTCAGGTTGCCTCTTTTCTAGTACTGAGTCATTTGGCAAAACAAAATTAGTAATGGGAGATCATTTGGACCCTGGAAGCAGAGCAAGGGAAAATAAATGACTTCAGGGATATTTTACCTATTTTATGGTAGAGAATAACCATCCATCTGTGTTCTACTAAAAAGCGCATTTTCCTGACTACTAAATGCTGCGTGATACTTTTCTTTTGGATGAACAGTGCTGGCTACACATTATAAAAAGTTACTCTGCAACTTTTTCTTTTCTAAACTCCACGCTGACCTTTGGGTTTCTACTTGTCGTGGCAACATCCTCCTTTATCCAATGGATTTACATGTAAGCTAGGCACCAATTTAGAACACTATTTTATGTAGACCACAGTTTATGTTGGATGCTTCCAGAAGACAGCTGAGAAGGTTCACTCGTCACATCAGTGACATGTAGAAACCACTGCAGACAGGGCTACCCAGACCCATATGGCACCTTTGTGCATAATAGGAAAAGGGCCTCATCCTTAGAATGGCTGTAGCCGCAGGCCAAGGTAGCATCCAGCCTGGATTTCAACCTTACTCACTTCCTCAGCCAGACATGCTTGTACAAGGCGCCACCATGTACAAGGTGCCACCATCCACACGGGCCTCCATTGGACAGCTTGAGACTAATGCAATGTGCCCAGCAAATGGGCATCAAGCAGCTGCTCTGGGCCAGGCACCAGGCTAGGTGCTGGGGCACAAACGGGTTACAATGCCAGCTCTTCCTCTTCGAGCTTGCAGGCGAATGGGGGTCGGAGGAGCCAGTCCGGGGGACAGAGGACAGACACAAGAGTGATGGCAGCAAAGGCCTGGTGCACTAGAGAAACTGCAGGCAGATCAAAAGGACGAGGGTAGAGAGAGGCAGAGGGATGCCACCACAGGGAGGCAGGAGTCAGCCCATGGGTGGCAGGAGGGCAGAGCCAGGCTGTCTTTTGATCTGGACTCCTTGTCTGCCTTGTGTTCTTTGCATTGATTATTTCTCATCTTAGATCTTTGCAGTCTTTCTGAACACTACTTACATTTCAAATAGCTTTAACATACAGTCTGATTGTAACAGTAATCCTGCACACTGTAAAACATCCAGGATTTTGTATAAAGAAGTAGTATTTATCTTTAATCTTACTACACAAAGATAACCACGCTGACATTTTGGAGAATCTCCTCCCACACTATTCTATTTGATTATTTGATTACTAGCGATGTTTAATTCTCTTTAGTTTATGAGCTTAGGCTTTCTTAATGTTTACTACTAAGCGAATTTAAAAAAATTTTCTAAATATATTAATAACGTCACTGATTAAGCCACAAGCAGAGAATGACTCCCGTCATGGCGTGATTTTCCCCTTCGAAGAAGGATGTGTTTCCTATTTCCTTTGATGGGCTGTCTTCTGGAGGAGAAAAGTGGTCACTAACCATACCCCCAAAAACATCATAACTAAAACCCCAAAGGTCAGCGTGGAGTTTACAACAGAGGAAGTTGCAAACTAACTTTTGCAATGCATAGCCAGCTCTGTCCATCGGAAAGAGAACTGCACAAGGCCCCAGCAGATTCAGCTTTTTGCATCCTTGACGGAAAATTCATAATCTAATAGTACAATTGCTTTTCCTCAATAAATAGTGCCACCTTCTGGCAGTTTCTTTGCATAAGCACACAGAGTTTATGAACCCCTGGGGATAGCAAGATGGAAGAAAGCTGACTTAGCATCCAGGGATCCACTGCCATGGCCATAAGCTGATGTTTAAATGATTGCACCCATAATACAGCTGGATGTAAGCATGAGTTATGGAACTTCTTGTTGTCCAGAGCTGTGCTCAAAGAAGGCAAGCCAGGCTTCCAATGTCCATCTCTGCCTTTTGCCATCAGTGTGCTTGTGGGCAGAGCACTGGCCTGGAACTAGGCCTAGATTTGAATTCCACCTCTGCTGCTTCCTGTGCAGCCCCTTGCACAAGGGTTTAGCCTCATAGGCCTCCCTTTCCCAGCTCTCTCACAGAATTTTGGTCTGGAGGAGCGAATGAGTAGCATTTTGTAAATCCTCAGTATACTCTCCACTATACAGTGACGTGAGCCTTTTTATCCTGACAGTCTGACTTTGGGTTTTTTTCTTTTTGCCAGGTAGATGAAGAGTATAAGAATCCTCACACGGTGGACAGAATTCCTCTGGGGAAGCTGCCCCATCTGTGGGGTCAGTCCTTGTACATCCTCAGCTCGCTGTTGGCAGAGGTAGGGTGCTAGGGGACTTCACAGATGGGACACTGGAAAAGCACAGGGGCTCTCTGCCCAGTGCGGCTGTGATTGTCTTTGGCATCTCTGCGGCTTTAAAGTCAGCTGCATGGGGTGTACGGGGCACAAGTGGCCCTTAGGAGCTATAGGTGCTGAGGTGAAGGAGTTGTTTCGTGAGTATGATCATCTCCCCAATTTAATGGTCATTTCCTTGGGGCTGGGGAGTCTTATACTTCTGTCATATTAGCAGGGAAAACGCATGTATCTCTTTTGGAAACCTAGCCCTGCCTCTGACTAGCTCTGTCTCCGCGGGCAGTGCTCTTAACCTCTCCGGGCCTCAGTTTGTTTGTGAAGTAAAGAGGTTGGATTTGATCATCTCTACGATACTTTCCAGCTCTGATTTCGGTATCAGTGACATGGGAAAGAATAACTGCTGCCGTTTCTTCCTCTTCAATGAGAAGGCCTTCTTCCGGGCCCAGCATTAGGTCCAGTTCCGCCTCAGATCTTCCAGAGCACCTCGGTCCCCTCTCTTAGGGCTCTGACCACTTATAGAAAATGTGAGGAGATCTATATTCAAGCAGGGAGGGGAGCTTTGTGTTTCAGGTCAGTCAGCCCTGGACCAAGTCCCCACTCTGCCACTCACCTTAAGCACATTACCTTGATTTTCCCACCTATGAAATGGTGATAACGGTAGTGCCCGCCTGCTAGGAGGCCTGCATGTGACAGTGCACATACCGAGCATGGAGTGAGGGCTCTAGAAGCCGTTAGTTACCGTTGTTCTTTTCACTCACACAAGGTGGCATATTTCACTAGCCCTGCAGAGCCAGGTGCTGAAGACGCAATACATTTATCAGGGGTTGTCTAATTGTATACTGTGTTTCGGAGGAAATAAGCAATTGACTTGAAACATCTAGAGGGGTCAAATACTGAATATTTCGAGCCAAGCCCCCGGATATGTCATTTTCAAACAGGTTTAAGGTGAAATTTTAGTTAATTAGTATTTCATAGCAGTAATGCTCCTCTTTTCTTAGGGATTTCTTGCCACTGGTGAAATTGATCCCTTAAATAGAAGATTTTCCACCTCCGTCAAACCTGATGTCGTAGTACAAGGTTTGTGAGCATGTTTACTATTCGTATTTAACTTTGTACAACCCATGTTATTTTTAATGTAAATTGTTCTCTAGTTTCCTATTTAATTTTTAAAAAGGATATATGGATGTATGCTTTAGTGTATATCAATTCTGTGAAATACCTTCTATAATTCAGTAGCTCCCAAAGGCAACAATAGTCTTCCTAATTGCAAAATTATTTTCGACAAAGGAATTATTTTTTTGAATCTAAACCTAGATTGCAGTCAGCGCACAAGTGATTCATTGAGCATCGTTTTTCATAACTGCCATTTTTCAAGAAGTAGAACAAGAGCCTGGTGAAAATGCAGAACCCTAGGGAGGGTTTATTCATTCTTCCCTCTGAGGTCTGACTGCCTTCCAGAGCTGCAGGCTCATGTTTTCACCTGCCTCCACCTGCCTCCCCTCCTCTCCAGCCAACACCTCTTCCGGAGAGGCGAAAGGCCAGCTTGGGCTGCTGAGGCACTGGCTCTACCTAGCCACGTGACTTTGCCTCTCTGTGCCTCCGGGTTGTCATGACTGATGCCTCCTCACAGGGGAGCCTGAGACGAACTGACATTGCCATGGCAGAAGCTCTCAGCATGGGGCGCAGCCTGGTATGCACCCAGCTCGCCATTTCCTCTCCCTACTTTCCTCCTGGGAAGGACTCCTGAGGAGCTCACGTGCCACATAGAGCAGCTTACATACCAGCCGATACCAGAGCACATCATGTTGATACCTTATTTCCTCTAAATGACACTGTACATTTCTTAAGGACAAGTCCCATGCCATTCTTGTAGCTTCTACATTGATTGACACACATGCACTCAATGCATTAAAAACGATTATTAAACCAGTGAAAGGCAACCTTCTTTGTGGCCACAGACTCATTTCGCTGCACCTGTCTGTGATGCAGCGAGAGGCCTGTAGGACACCACTTGGTCGATACCGTGAGCCAGGCCCTCCGCGAGATATACCCAAATGTCACAACATTCTGATCAGGCAGAAATTGTGATGATTATGATTATCATCGTCATCTTACACATGAGGCTTAGCAGTTAACTTATTCACCCGAGGACCCACAGCTGGAAGCCAGAGGTGCAAACCCAGTTCCGATGTTCAGGCGGACTGATCTAGCCTGACTCCACAGTGTCTGCACTTAACCAGAGCCCATGCTGCACAAGGCAGCTTTTCTAAATGCAGGCTGGGATATGTTGATGAGTCCTGAGCAGCATTTTTTTTTTAATATGCAGTCATGCACCGCCTAACATTTCAGTCAGCAATGGACCACATACAACAGTGGTCCCGTAAGATTATAATAGAGCTGAAAAATTCCTATCGCCTAGTGATGGCATAACTGTTATAATGTCATAGCGCAATGCATTACTCACGTGTCTGTGGAGATGCTGGTGTAAACAAACCTACTGCACTGCCACTCATATTAAAAATATAGCACGTACAATTACAGCAGTAGGCTATGCAACCTAGGCTTGTGTAAGCACACTCTATGTTTGCATGATGATAAAGTCGCCTAATGATGCATTTATCAGAATGTATCCCTGTTGGTAAGCAGCACGTGACTATACTAAAATAGAACAGAGTAGAAAGCATTAGAGGACCTGGCCTAGAGGAAGGGGAAGTACAGTTTCAGAAACTTCTCCACATATGGCTGTATCAGATCATGAGACTCACAGGTCTCAGTGAAACCACGCTTATAAAAGACAGAGCGTGACCACTGTGTGGCTCTGATGTATGTGGATCTCTGTATGGTATTAGAAGTTTTAGAAAAGACAGATTTTTTTAAATTAATTAATTTTTTTATGATGACATTGGTTAATGAAATCCAATAAGTTTCAGCTCTACACTTTAACAATAAGACATATATATATTTACACTGTGTGTTCACTTCCATACTTAGATTTCTTTCTGTCACCACATAGAAAAGACAGGTGTTAAGAGAAGCCACCCACCCAGTCCTGCATGGCTGATGTTCCCATTTGCTGGAGGCCTGGGGGCATCAGCTTCCAATCCCTGTTCAGGTACAGCTGGCCAGTTAAGCATGCAAGTCTTCCCCTGAGGGCCTGTTGTAAAGCTCAGATGAGATCATAGATATTAAAATACTTTGAAAAAGCATCACATGCTATGTAAATATAAGGAGGTGACATTCAGGTTTCAATGGCATTTATGTGTATTGTTCAGGTACCACCAGCCTGTGGGTACAATGGTGGGGCTCAGCGGGGGCTACCTTAGCAGTAATTGAGTCTTCTTCCTCCAGCCCGAGCACAGCCCTAAGACCCTCCAGTTCCCAGCGGGCTCTGCTGCAGGTGGATACAGCACCAGCCACTCTCTATGGCTGAAACTCCCCTTCTCCAGTCCCCTCCCAGACTCCTTTTCTTTGTCAAAGCACTGTCTCTTCTCTTAAAAGCCAGCAATACTGATTTCAGTGGTCTAGGGGTCTTAGTCCTCCCCACACACACCCCCATGTCCCAGACACTCTGAGCTCCCTGCCTGCTGTAGAACCAGATGCCCAGCCTCACCTACTGGAGATAGGGCCCAGGCCAGCCCACTGGGGGTACAAGGCCTGGCTTTGGGGTGGCTTTTCTTCACCAGCAGGGCCCTGTGCTGTGTTTCCAGGCAGGCCAGGCTGCCCCAGTACAACCAGCAGCCCACTAACAGGCCCACTGTCCCTTCTCCCCGGAGGAAAATCCTCCCCCTTTGTCAGAGCTCCCCTGCTGGCATATGCTCCTCTTTCCTGTGCTTTGGGAGCAGGGACACGGGCTTCCTCTGGGTCCTCCATGTGGAGCTGTTTCCACTCCTGGTCCCATGCGAAAAGAATATAAAACAGATGTAGAATAAATGTAGACCCAGAGGGAGGCAAGACTTCATTTGAAATGGGATAATTCGGCCTGGGACCTCTTGAAGACCATTTCTAGAAGTCTTTTATCAGACTGTCTTGTACATTGTGGGTTCTCGATAAGTATGTATCATGGGTGTTGAGGGGAGGCAGGGCCAGAGAGAACTAGGAAGAGCAGCAAGCAGTACAGGCGCTGTTTTAAAAGCCACCCATTGCATGGAGAGCATGCTAATGTGTGTATCATAGGCCAATGAAGAGATCGGTAAATGCTGCAAACTCGTGAAGAGACAAAGGCCACAATCTAATGCAGATTCTATATTCTTCTTGTTTGCAGTTACTGTTCTGGCAGAAAACAACCACATTAAAGAGTTGTTGAAGAAGCATGGGATGGATGTCCAGAGTATTGCTGACATTCACCCAATCCGAGTCCAACCAGGCCGGATCCTCAGTCACATATATGCTAAGCTTGGTAGGTTTGGGGAAATCACGGGGTCTTTTTGGCAAGGGGGCATCTTGGTTCTAGGTTTTGGGTCTGGGGGAGACTGTGGTGTGTGTAAATTCTAAAGAATTGGGCAAAGCAGTAAAGCAGATGGTCTTACCGTTTCGATGTGAAGAGGAATGTGCACGCAAGCATGTTCTCCTCGTGCCAGTTCAGTACGTGTCTGTCGCCCACCGTAGCTTGGCTGTGCGATTTACCAGATCTGTTGTAAAATAAGCAGCCACCTTTGAAAATTCACAATTGGAACAGTCGTTTGTGTCTTGATAATATTTCTAATTTTTATCTATAGTCTTGGAAAATGCTCATTTGTCCATTAAAATGGGACGGGGTTCTCTTTACTTTTTCTAAAATCCGACTTTGTTTAGTGTTATGGCTAAATAAATACTAAATAAATTAAAAGTAAACATTAATAAAGTTCTTTTAATAGTTTTATTCCGTATAGATGGTGAACCAGATGCTGTTTGTATACACGCATGAAAAGAAGGGGGTGGGATTTGTTTTTAATTCATCCTTGTCCCTATAAAGAAGGATAATGATATTTAAAAAACAGTGAGTTATTTAACATAAAAATAAGTTCAGTCTTACCCAAAGTCACTTGGATTAGATGTTACTATATTTGCTCGAACTCGTTTCTCTTTTATTTTCAAATAGGACGGAATAAGAATATGAAATTGAGTGGGCGACCATATCGGCACATCGGCGTCCTTGGAACATCTAAACTATATGTGATTAGGAACCAAATCTTTACTTTCACACCCCAGGTGAGAAGAGCAAGCCAGTAGCAAACTAATAAGAAGCATCCTTTCATTAAGCTGTCTTTTCTGTCTGGTGAGCTACTTTGAATGTGGCAGAATGCATGCATATGTTCAAATGATACCTGATACCTAGTACAATTCTTTACTCATAGTAGGTGCTCAGTAAATGGCTTGACTCAAATTGAGTGTGTCGTGACTTCCAGTCATGAGTAGTAGTGAAATTCACACCGCTTTACAAATTTTCTAGTGACATATTACTTGATTCCCAGTCCTTGTGCCCCTAATCACAATAGTCTCTCACCTTTGCTTAGGTTGTCATCAGACCCTCTACGTAACACACAGCCAGTCTGATTTTCAGGCCCTAGTCCCCTTGACAGGATCTTGCATATATCGATTATAGAACTTTTCTTCAGAGTTTTTATTTCCAAAGGAAACTAGTCCTGTGGATCCCAAAGCAAACGTTTTTCATCCATTTGGGCAGCTAGGAAGACCAACTGTGGGGTCACTTGGTCAATGTGGGACACAGCCAGCCCACTGCCTGGGCACACAGTGAATTATGAGTCAATAGCCCCAAGGTGCTCTTTTTCACCCCACCCTACACTATTCACTTAAAGCTTGTGAGTTACTTCCTTTCATAACAAATTTCAGACCAGAGCATGGACTGAGCATGGACTAGTCTAGAGGCCAGGAGAACAATTTGATTTTTATTGACATCAGGCGACAGTGTCTTTAGTTCACATTAACCAGGCCATCAATCAGGTGAACACAGTCTCCACATCTCAGCTGCTCTCAGTGCCCTCACTTGGAAAGCATCTCTGAGCCCAGCAGCCCTGGAGGAGTACGAATTAAGGAGTTATTGATTTCCTTTCGGAGACAGCAGGATTAGGCCAGTTGCTTAAATCCTCATCTGAGGAGCTGTAAATAGATCTAGCCATGCCCCTTTCCCTTCCTGGGCAGGCGACAGGTCGATTTGTCTGATTGCGAGGAGAGCCCTATAATGGGCGGATTAGAGCCAGGATCGAGCCTCTTCTCCAGAAAAGTAACGTAAGGATTAGTGCTGCCCCGAACGACAGCTGGGGTTGTGTCGAGGAAAGTGAAGGACGGCCTTTTACTCGGCCCATTCTAACTTGCAGTTCACCGACCAGCATCACTTCTACCTAGCCCTGGACAACGAGATGATCGTGGAGATGCTGAGAATCGAACTGGCCTACCTGTGCACCTGCTGGAGGATGACGGGCAGACCCACGCTCACCTTCCCCATCACCAACACCATGCTCAGTAACTCCATAAACTTGATCTGACTGATTTATGTCCCACTGTTGAGATTTGGCCCCTTTTCAAAATGTTTAAAATGGCTCCCATGGACAGAGCTAAACACTGAAAGTGGTTCTCAGTAGTACGGTTTCTTAGCTCAAGAATCTACTATGACATACGTGTTTTAATTAGATCGTGGTGATGAAAACATTTCAGTGCATGCTCTCCCCCCAAAAGTATTCCCAGTTTAAGTAAACTAATTCATCTTTTTTTCCCCCTTAGTAAATGATGGCTCAGACATTCATTCTGCAGTGCTTTCTACAATTAGAAAACTAGAGGATGGATATTTTGGAGGAGCTAGGTAATTTATGATGTTTTTAAAAATGAAAGTAACGGTCTTTCTTAAAGTCTTTTGCTGACCTTCTCCCACTCTTTCATATCACTTGCTGAACATAGCAGCATGGCAGTTTAGAATAAAAAGGAAGTTAAAACTTATCTAATCCGGTCACCTAGTGAAACTGGAATCATCTCTAAAGCAGCATTTGGTGGGTGTTAGTGAAGATTTCATGGGCACCAGGACCTGGGGCATAGAGACGTAAACATATCAATTCCTCTGAACTGGCATTCTTAGATGGCATGTGTGGAATGCTGTGTCTGTTTCTGGTAAAAGGCATGGAAGAAAACATCCAGTGCCTAGGATCTAGCGGGTGCTCAATAAACGCTCCTTGAATTGACATGAATGTGCTATTGCCTTAAGAATAATTCATAGAACTTTACAAATTCCTTAGTGGCCCTCAGAGCAGAGGACCTGAATGGGCCTGCCTAGACCACTGTCCTCTCGTTCTCAGTGGAATGATACCCATTCCAGTTTGTAGACTCACAGTATGGCAGACACTCCCAGGTATTACGGTCGAGCACCTTGAGCGATAGGGGGCTCACCACCCAGGAAAACCCCTTCCATTTTTGTACCTTCTGACTGTCCCAAGACAGAGGTTTTCCCTGTAGCAGCTATGCTGTGATCTCTCTGAATCCCCTAGAATATGCCAAGAGAGCCCCAAGGACAACCTCACTGTGCAGGCAGCCTGTAGTGAGGCGTGGCCGTTCCCAGGCTTGGGAAGGCTTCCATTTGGTCCCGGATGGAATGCCATTTGCTAAAAGTGTTTGGGCCTTGAATTCAGCCCTTCCTCTCACATCCTCCCGCACCAAAATTTAAAAAAAAAAAAAATCTTCAAATTGTGATAAATTGCATGTAACGTAAAATTTACCATCTTCAGCATCTTAAAGTGTACAGTTCAGTAGTGTTAAGTACATTCACTTTGTTGTGTAACTAATCTCCAGATCTCTTCTCATCTTGCAAAACTGAAACTCTGTACCCATTGAACAACTCTCCATTTCCCCTGCCCTCGGCTCCTGGCAACCACCCTTTTCCTTTCTGTCTCTAGGTATTTCATCTAAGTGGATTCATCCAGTATTGTTCTTTTTGTGACTGACTTATTTCATGTAGCCTGATGTCCTCAGGGTTGAGTCGCTTTATTTCTAGGTGCTTGGGTTGGCACCTCTGCTCACAGAGCTTGCTGTGGGTTTTGCTATTGACTTGAAATGACCCTCCCTCCGAGCTCCTTCTGGCCTCTTTCAGGAGTGTCAGACCGTCCCCAGCACTTTGCCATCTACATTTCCAGCACTGGCGCCATAACTGCAGTTGACGCTCACTTTTATACATTTCACCTCCAGTTTGGATAAGTTACCACCTGGTGTAGGGCATCATAACCGAGAGAAAATACCATACACCCATAATTGTTTTTCAAAATAAACTTTAATTGAAATCGAATTGTTGTCAAAAGGACACTGTCTGCAGTTAATCGCACACTTACAGTGTTCTTTGTTGCTTTATATGGATTGCCCCATTTAGTCTTCACTTGGTCACGTGGTCTGTATTTCCCATTTCACAGACAAGTAGCTGTAGCCACAGAGAGCCAGAGCACAGGACGAATAGGTGCAGAAGCTCTGTGTGAGTCCAGAAACCAGGCTCTAACCACCGTGCAGAACTGACCAAGCGCTTGCAGGAATCAGGAGGGCCTCCCGTTAGTAGAGTATGGCAGACAAAGATTCAGAGAACTAGGGGGCGAAACAGGAACACCTAGGCTCCATGGGCTACCTTTCCTAAACCAAGTTCTTGATAGTTACAACTGAATCTCATTTTACCTTTTTCTTTGGGCCTGAGGGTCTTTAAAAAGCTGAACTCACCCTAAATACCAGTCTATGCTTTGGGACCCATCTGGGGTAGCTTGCTATCAGAAGTCTTTTTTAAATTACTGCCTTTCTACCTTTGACCTGACTTCTTTCAACTTCATCAAAGGGAGGCTCTCCATTGTCTTTCTTCCATGCTCCACCTTAACCTCCTGTTCCCCAACCTCAGGACGAAAATGTCACTAGAAAGGCCCTGGGGATTGGGAGGTGGGGAGTTATTACAAAGAGGCTGGGCTGTGCTCTGAGGTACATGGCAGGGGAGACCACAATCTCCTGATTCAGACACACATGGAGACAAGTGTTTCAGAGACCGGATGGTGGCAGAGGCCCCTGCAGCCCAGGGAAGGCTGCAGCCCTGCACCTCCCTGGCCAGCTGGCCTGTGTGGGGACGGCAATGTCGATGTCCTGCCCACTTCGTAGATGAATTTTGTGAGCTCCTTGGGGGAGGGGAGGCTAGGAAGGAGCATCAGGACATAAATACTATGAAAGATGCCTAAACGGTCCCTCCTTGCCCTTGGGCCATGTTTATGATGTATAGTCCATTTGCTCATTGAAGCTCAAGCACCTGTGAATTCATTTGCATCCTCTCTTTAGTTTACTCCTCAAACATTTCTCTCAGCCGTTTCTGCCTCCAAATCTAACATTTCAAGAAGCACACAGAGCAGGCTTTCTTTCTATAGGGTGGACATCCCACATACTCCCCAAACCCGGGGATGGACCTGCAGAACTCGGGAGGCTGCTGCCTCTGCAGTCAGACCCCACGCTGCCAAACCCAGCTCCCGGTTTTCAGCAGAGCTTTTACCAGCCTGATGATATACTAGGGCCACGCTGGGTGTCTACTCTGATGGGGGAGGGGGGAGTGGCCCGCCCTTCTCATTCCTTCTAGAGAGAACTTGGGCTCTGAGATGTGCTTACCTGTGCCTGTGTGACCACGTGGTGTGGTAGGAACTCATAAACCATGGCACGAATGCACCCAATCAGTCATCGCTTATGGTTTTATTCTGGTCCAGTCATTTTAGGGCAAAAATCCCCTAAAGCTTGGTTCTGTTAAAAGTGGTTCACTCAATATGTTTTGTAAAACTTGGTTTGATTTGGTAAAATAGACTTCTATTTGTGTTGGGTTCGGAAGTAAGAAATCAGTGTGATTCATTTCGGCTTTTAATATGCTGTGTGCTTCTACTTAATACTCGCTATTGAATTTTTCATTTCAATTTCTTGGCTGACTACTGCTAAGTGATGTATTTATTGATACTGGCAGAAGCACCACCTGGTTGTTGAAAAGTCTCTCCATGATTCACGGTGGAAGTTTGTCCACATGCATCTATATCTCTAACATAATGTCTCCTTGGCAGAGTAAAATTAGGGAGCCTTTCGGAATTTCTCACCACATCTTTCTACACGTATCTGACCTTCCTTGATCCAGACTGCGATGAGAAGTTGTTTGATGATGACAGCGAAGAGAACTTCAGTCCTGATAGTGACTCAGAGCTGGGAGGATATTTGGAAGACACCTACAATCAAGGTATATTATATAGCTAGGAATGCCTTTGCAGGCGGTTCATTGATTTTATTGAAACCTTGGCATTGTGATAAAATTGCCCTAAGACTCAAGCACAGAAAATGACTGGTAATTAACATAACAAAAAAGAGGCTTTGGAAACTCGAATGCATTAAAGTGAATAAAATGGCAGTTTAAAAGCCTCAACTGCAAAAGTGAGGCTTTTTTAAACCTAGAAGGACAAAGAGTTTTAGTAATAAGTACTTTTCACAAAATATATCCTAAAGACAGAAACACACTGATTGCATTTGTAAAGGAATGGTAGAATAATCTAGGATTGGTTAGATATGAGTGTTGAAATCCTATGTATATAACATTTCTCAAACTGAATAGGTGACCTATTTTTTACTTGTAGATAGTACTTGAGATTGGGGCTGGCGGTTCCATAATGCTTAGCTCACTCATGACAAGTTGAAAAGATGTCGGCTGCCGGCCCTCAGGTTGTCTTACATATTCAGTTTCTTTTATGATGATGTGATATAAACACTATTCACCTGTATTTTCTTTTCCTAGATGAAGTTTTTCCAAACAGTAACTTTATAAACACACATATTTATGTAAATATCTTTATATTTTCCAGGGGTGGGGTGGGAGCGCAAATATCTATATCAAAATGTTGTCTTCCACTAAATTTACTCAGTATTGTGCGCTACACACAATCACTGTTATGCCTTTAGAATATTTCCACAGCTTGTTTTCATCGGCTCTTTTATCTACCTGTCCAATTACAGAAAGCCAGGATGAACTTGACCAGTATATCAATCACCTCCTGCAGAGCACATCCTCGAAGTGCTATCTGCCCCCTCTTTGTAAGAAGACTTCGGAAGACAGCCATGTTTTCAGTGCCATCCACTCCACTCGGGATATACTTTCCTTAATGGCGAAAGCAAAGGGTTTGGAATTTCCATGTATGTTAACTCTTTTATGCCTGTTAAAATAACTTATTTTATCAAAGTACTGCATGAGCATAATTTAAAAATCAAAGAATCCTAAAAGACAGCAAAATGCAGATGTTTCCTGCCTTACCCCTCCACTTCCCATTGCCCCCAGTCCTCCTTAAAGGCAATCACTTCCAACTCTTAGTTGTTTCTTCTGGCATTTACATACCTCCGTATTTCTAAAGTAATTGTGTATGCTGCTGTCTTCATGCATCTGTTGACTTTATGTTACAGGGTGAAGATTTAGTTGTCTTAAACGACCACTTATCTGTGTCGCTTCCCCTAACCTGCCCATGTAATTGTATTAAAGTTTAGTTAAATTAGTATTCACTCTTTATGTTATTGTGTGTAAGCAAATACTACTCCCAACTGAGCATTATCATATACTATGATGATATTATCATTTTTACTTTTTGTTTTTTTAAAGGTAATAGTTGCCCTATCTTTTAATCTGCTCTGCTTCCTTTTTACACCTTCCAATGGCCTCACAATACAAGTTTCCACAAGGTCAATCGTATCCAGGAATCTCTCGGTTCCACTACTTTTCTGAGAGTCCAAAAGTCTCCTTCTGTCTTGCTGATTAAACTCTAGCCTGTTGCATATCCAGCATCCTGGGAATCTCTTTTGCTTATCTCTTCAGTTGGGTTCCCTGTTTCCTGAATCCGTCATGTTCCCCTTCCTCAATTTATTCTTTTGGTAGAACACATTCTAAAATAGTTTCAGTGGGTTAAAAAATGGTATAATGGAAGAGGGCATGGTGAGGATGGCCTTGAACTTGCTAGTTTCTGAAGTTCACTTCCACTCTTGGCCTGGTTGCCCTCCATGTCCACGGTATAGGTTTTATCTCAGATCTTTCTTTACCATCCTGGAGAGTTCTTTAAGACTTCATTGTCTCCTGCATCAGCTCTCCTGTTTTCTGTGTCTCAACTTTTCTATTCTCACCTTACTCTCCTATTTTGGTATGGGACATCCAGTAGTTTCCTGAGAGACAGTATGTGGTAGGTAAAATTGTTGAGACCTTGAGAGTCTGAAAATATCTACAAATATCCTATATCCGTTTGAGAGTTTGGCTGGTATAGAATTCTAGATTGAAAATCTAGGGGAATTTTTCTTCAGAATTTTGAAAGCATTGCTTCATTATCTTATTACTATCAGTGTTGCTATTGAGACATCTAAACCCATTCTGGTTTTTGATCCTTCAAATGTGAACTGTTTTCTCTTTGAAAGTTTTTAGGATAGTCTCTGTTCCCAGGTTCTGGAATGTCAGGGATGTGCCTTGATCTGGGAGTATTTTCCTCCACAGTATTGAGTACTCAGTGGGCCTTTTCAGTATGGATATTTATATTTTTCTGAACAATTTCTTGACTCATTTCCTTTCCTACATTTTCTTCGTTCTCTCTTTCTGGTACCCTATGATGCCCGTGTTGACCTCCTAGAGAAGTCTTTATCAATTCTCTTCCGCTTCCATTTCTTTATTTTTTACTCTGTTCTGAGGGCAATTACTTCAACTTTTCATTCCACCCCCTCAATTTTTTTTCTCTTTTGCTATCATGTTCTCAATCTTTGTTCTCTAAATTGTGTCTGTACTTGTTTCATGCATGTAATAGAATTTATTAGTCTAAGAATATTAATGGCAGGGCTTTTTGGTTTTGTTTTACATTTTCTTCTTCCTAAATGGGTTCCATTTCCCCCAAGTCAATTTTTCCTGTTTGTTTTAGTTTCCGTCTTCCACATTAGAGTCTTCCCTTCAGTGCAGGGTGTCGCTTGGTTACCTGCTCATGCATGAGAATCTCCACGTGTGTAGGTGGGGCTGTTGGGTTCATAGGCGTAGGCTGGGCAGATTTCCCAGAGATAGTCTACAGACTCCTTTTTGACAGGTAAGAGTCTGGTTGCCTAGAGCTATACAGTTACTTGTTCCCCCTAAGGAGTATACCCAGGCCTTCACATATGCCAGTCAGCCCCCACTCTAGAGATACCCCGCTTTTACCCTCTTCAGAGAAATCCTCTAGTCTTCTGTCAGAGGGAACGAGGCAGTTGCCAAGCTGTGTGGAGTTGAGGAAGACATCTAGGGAACTCAGTGCTTCCCACACAGCTTCTCCCCCATCTTCCTCATTTTGGACAACACCATGGGACCTCCAGTTGCAGAGGTACATAGTATAGCGAGCTCCTGAGACTTCTGAGGATGCTCTGATGTAAATCTGACTGGTTCTTGGTTTTCCCTACTGCAGACTTGGGGTTTGGTTGCCTTGTGTAAGGTAAATTAGTTATCTTTTGTCTGTCAGCTTTCTCACTTCCAAAATGTTGTTACTATTGTCTTCTCCTTTTCCCTAATCTTGAGAATTTGTCTTTTTAAACATTTTTTTTTCCTATAGTGTTAGAGGGGGTTTGAGCAGAAGTGAAATTTAAATGTGTGTTTGATTCACTAGTATAACCTAGAGGTCTATAAATACCTTTAAAATATGCTTCATCTTTACCTTGACAACTTCCTATTTTCCCAAGATGATATGATATAGCCCGGAAGACACAAATGGCTGAATGAATAAATATCGATAATAATTAACATCCAAAGGTAGTTTAAAAGCAGAAGCCTTAATGCCCAGCAGTGGCAAAGTGAAGCACATACTGGACAGGAAGCCCAGACACCTTGATTATGAGAAGGCCCGTGACCTTGGACAAATGGTCTACCCTCTCCGATTCTCAGTTTCCTTATCTGAAAGAAAAGGAGGTTGGGCTCAATCATTTCTAAGGCTCCTTCCAGTCCTAAGATGCTACGCAATTTTCCCTGAATTCTAAGACGGAAAATTGAAATTCAGCCCCTTAAATCAAGATCCATCTCTTGCTCATTTCTTCTTTCCAGATTTAGCACATGATGTGGCTACATGATAAATACTTGTTGAAATTAAACTAAATAAGTAATCTTTCCTTTAGTTGGTTTATACTAAATAAGGAGTAGTCACCATACCTCTTAAAAGAAGTATTTTATTCTTCCTCCTCTTCAAGAGAATTCTCTTTATTCTTTTGTTTTCCAGTTGTTCCCATGACTCTGCCAACTAAAGTTCTAAGTGCCCACCGTAAATCACTAAATCTTGTTGATTCTCCTCAGCCACTCCTAAAAAAGGTAAAGTATTTAGAATCATTTTTTTAAGTGTACTGTTCTTCGATGATAGTATAGTCCCAAGAACTCTTTTAAGTGGTTAAACTTAAAAGAAAGAACATATTTCTTGATATCAAGGACTTTTAGGGTTAGAAGTTCTGGGTGTCGATGTGAAACTCCTGACTTAGCTGTCTGGAATCTGCTTTGTGTCAGTGTGCACACCGAATTTGATGCAGACCTTTGTGTTTTACATGTAGGAAAAGGCTACTGACTTTCTGCCTACTCCTCAGAATCTGTGTCGCACCAGAGGAAATAAGCTAGCTCACTGCCTGGCCCTGTCCTGTCTGTGCCAGCCAGCCAAGACGGGCTACTTGCAGAGCAGCATACAAAACTAGAAAAAAATTCCTCAGGAGAATAAATCCAAGGGTATTCCCGACTGGTTCCCATAATTTGTTATTTTATCCGGAAATCCTGGTTGATTTTATCCCACGTGACTAGAAAGATTCAGCTTCTCCTGGAGAATATTTTAACCTAAGCTCAGTTTTTGGTTGTTTAAAAGTCACGTACTTTTTGTGTTTGCTTTGTTTTCAAAAAAATATTTTATCGAAGTACAACATATACAGAGAAAAGTGTATAAAGTATAAGTATTGATAAGTGATGACTTATGATCGAGCCAAAAGACACGGGTAAATGACCAGCCACTCTGTGCCTCTCCCAGGCGCTCCCTCTCTCTCCACTCCAAAGATAACTAACTGCTAGCATAGGTTCAATACCAGAGGTTAGTTTTGCCTGTTTTTGAACTTTGCATAAATAAAACTTACACATGTTTGAGCCTGTTCAGTCCAGTCTCTTGCAAACATTGACTAGCACAGTGATTCACCGGTCAGAAATAGTAAAGCATACAAATAAAAAAGCTGCAAAAGATTTACCGAAACCCTGGAGCACACACAGCACAGCAGGAGTTCCAAAACCAGGCTGGTGCGTCTCTTCGTTCACCCCTCTCCCCTGCTTTTCGGCTTTTGTGTGACCAGACCCCTGAAGATGAATTCAAGTGGCCCAGAGATGACCATGGTGACGTAGACTGTGAGAAGCTGGTCGAGCAGCTGAAAGACTGTTCGAACCTACAGGACCAAGCTGACATTCTATACATTCTGTATGTGGTAAGGTAAGTTTCTGGTCTTCACTAGACCAAGCTTTCCCCATCCTCTTGGACTCTATGTCCTAGTCTTCTTGGCTTTCCAGCCAGCCAGGTCATGATTCTGTTCACCCAGATTGCCCGTGAACAGACTCCCATCCCCTTCTCTGCCCACTCATGCTGGCCTCCCAGGATGCGAAGGCTGTGTGAGGCCAGGATCTCACTGTTTCCTGGTGCTAGGCTTCTGTTTCACATAGACAAAGGGATGCTTTGGTAAGACACAATCCTCTCACGAGGCTCAGAGGCACTGGGCGGGCCGAGCCCTTGGCAGAGTGCGCGGTGATTCATTCCCCTCCCTGTCAAGTGAGCCCTGCACGAGAACCCAGCCTGCAAACATTCTGGGCCTTACTTCTGGGGTTTCCTATCTCTCCACAGGGGCCCCGACTGGGACACAAATCTTTCCGGACAGCATAGGGTGACCGTTCACAACCTCCTCAGCGAGCTCTATGGGAAAGCCGGCCTGAACCAGGAGTGGGGTTTGATTCGCTACATCTCTGGCCTGCTCAGGAAGAAAGTAGAGGTGCTGGCTGAGGTCAGAGCCACTGTCCATCTGTCTTTTCTAACCCCATGCCCTCTTCCTGTTATGAAAGACAGAGGAAAGCACTTCTTTGTGAAGGATACCAGTTATTTCAACATAGAAATGGAGCGGGCCCTTCTCTCCTGACCTTCCACTGCCCTTGGAAGGCGAGCAGAGGAAATGAAAGTGAACTTGATTAGTTTTGTTCTTTCTTAGCTGCAGAAAAAGGTTTACCAAGAAATAAAACAAAAACGCTCGGTGGCCTGCCATTCTCATAAACAGCGTTCTTATTTCTGTACATACGCAGTACAATCATTAATATTTTAACCCTCAGGCCCTGCAGAACTCTAGAACCACTTTCTTAGATATTAAAGTTCAGTGTTATGGTAAGGCAATGGTATTTATTATACCTGAATAATGGGGACACTGACAATTTAGGGCTAATATAGTCATTAACCCTTAACATTGGTATCTTAGGACTCACGACAGCCCATCCCCCTTGTGGTATATCAGGGAATCCTATGTGTTTCCTACAGTGGATGGGCATTAAATACCCACTAACGGGCCTTGCACAGCCAGGCCTAGGGCCACATATTTGGGGACTCAAAGATCACAGGGACCCAGCCCTGCCTGATCGTTCAGTCTGGGGTCTCTGTATAAATTTTTCAAATAAATGGCAACATGGTTCATAAAGTTTGTAAAGGTAAATTTGTAATCTTATTGGCAGTACCCTTCCCCTTTGGCTTTGCTAATCTCTCTTCCTCCCTCCCTCTCTCCCTATGTCCCCCTCTCCCTCTCTCTGTCTCCCTCCCTCCTTCCCTCTCTTTCTCTCTCCCTCTCTCCCTCATCCTTTCTCCTGAATAAGTAGGCCTGCACAGACCTGCTGTCACACCAGAAGCAGCTCACAGTGGGCTTACCTCCAGAGCCCCGGGAGAAAATCATCTCTGCGTAAGTCTTCAGCCCGGGGCCTCAGGTTTTGGGGCCATGGGGAAAACATCAGTGCCATCCACTGTTCCAGAAGAGGGTCTTTTTAAATATACTGTCACTCGGGAGCTTCTGACAAGGAAATAAGTATCTTCCATGGAGGGTAAGGAGGGACTGCTTAGGCATCTTTCATGGTATTTATGTCCCAATGCTCCTTCCTAGGCCTCTTCCCCCCGAGGAGCTCACTGAACTCATCTACGAAGCCAGCGGGCAGGACATCAGCATCGCCGTTCTCACACAGGTCAGCTGGCCAGGGAGGGGCAGGGCTGCAGGGGCCTCTGCCACCACCCGGTCTCTGAAAACGCTTGTCTCCATGTGTGTCTGTGTCAGGAGATTGTGGTCTACCTGGCCATGTACGTCAGGGCACAGCCCAGCCTCTTCGTGGAGATGCTCAGGCTCCGGATCGGACTGATCATTCAAGTGATGGCCACGGAGCTGGCACGGAGCCTGAACTGTTCAGGTGCGAAGCACAGGCGGACCCTCCGGCGGCTCCCTCAGCACCCACTCCCTCTCCCGTGGAGCTCTGTCCTGGGGACCCCCACCCAAATATTCTGGAACCCAGGCTTCTGAGCCTTTGAGTGTATTCCCGCTCTACCAGGTTCTCTCGTGTAGATGTAACTTCCCTCAGGCCACCCAGCACAGGGTGTCGAATTTCTTGTCAGGGAGAATGAGGCGCTAGAATCTTCTGCCCTGCTCCTGACATCTAAGTTCCTTACTGTAGCTCCTTGCAGTACAATGTCATCCACCATTTAATAACACCTTCACTGGGAGAAATCCTACCAACTGAAATGCGTAAATCAATTGAAAATGCAGTCCGACATGGAGATTATTACAGCATGAGGAATGGGCATCTGGGAGTTAATAACACACAACTTAAACAGTAGCATTTAGAATCACCAAGGCTCAGTACATTTCAGCCCTGAAGCAGTGATGAGGTAATCCCAAACTCTACGTTCACCTGTCACCAGCCTTGTGTTTGAGACACTTACAGGGTATTTATTTGTTTTTAGGAGAGGAGGCTTCTGAAAGTTTGATGAACCTCAGCCCTTTTGATATGAAGAATCTCCTGCACCATATTCTTAGTGGAAAAGAGTTTGGCGTTGAAAGAAGCGGTAAGTAAATGCTTATTTTATGTCTGCGGGGAGGGGACCACAGAGGGCCTCACTGACATGTCCAGTATCACCGGGAACTGCCTCATTTATGTACAGATCGACATCAGTCATTGCGATTTGGGACATAATGTATGAGGGTAAGGTTTCTACTTTACCGAGATGGACAGGGTCTAGGTGCAAGGTTCTGACTTGTCAGGTTGTGTGACCCCTCATAGGCTTGCCGGGAGAGCTGTGGCCCGACGTGGGCATGGGTGCCCCCGACTGCCTTCCTCCATCTGCCAGGTCCAGGTCCCATCACTCGTGCACCAGTCTTGGGGGGTGAGATAACTAGGGAGGTGTCAGGATGAAAGGGCTCTTTTCCAATCACCTGAGTGTCCCACCTTTGGTTTGGACAGAAGCGTCCTAAACCAGACCCAGGCCCTCTTCATGGGACCAAGAGAAGAGCCCTCTGCAACCTCACAGCACTGAGGTTGCGAACTGAGTGAGTTCGCTTGGTCCCCATCTGGCCCGCTCAGTTCGTATCTGTGCCGGAACCCTGTTTGCAGTGCTAGGAAGGATAATCGCCCAAGTCCTGGTGGAATTCTGTTCTCAAATGCTCCCTAATTATAATTGAAGCAATTATCATTTCTCCTCATAATAAAGCAAAATGATTTACAAATACATTTGTTCATTTATTTCATGAAGCCAAAGAAACGCAGTGTGGGATGTCATTCTTTTTATTTCATAAGAAGGGCACAGAGTACTTCGTGTTTTTCCCCAGAGTGCACGCCAGTCAGCTAACAAAGACGGCATCGTGCAGTCAGGTGTGTCGGGTGGCTTTCCTCCCTTCCTGAAGCAGGAGCGCTCAAGATCTTTTTCCAAAAGTAATTTTCAGCTCTTTCAAATGCACAGTCCTTGAAATGTAAATATACAAGATAAATATTTAATGTGTTCTGCTCATCAAAATAATATACATGCTTTGACACAGATAATGACTAAAAATCTGTTGTTAGATATAAAGCTATAGGTGCTTATAAAACTAGGAACACAGTAATGTCACTTGAAAGCCATAAATATGTCTAATTGCAAGCAATGGCAGAAGAAGTCCTGTCTTTTGACAGATAACATCATTTGTTAATTGTCCTTTGTAATTGTCCGATTTTTATAAGCTAGGAAACTCAAGTAGTCTTAGAATTTTGATGAAATCCTGAGATGTCTTAGATAAATATTACCAGCTAGCTCCTACCCCATTCAGGCCCCACTACAGAGTACCAGACCACTTTGGCTTCTGTCTTCCACTTCCCTGGTGTCCTCCCTACCCCTCTGGCTAATCATTGTGCTTCCTTTGTGGGTTCCTCCCTCTCTGCTGTCCTTTAAATGTTAGTGTCCCCTGGTTCCTTATTTGTCTCTACTCCCCTGGGCAGTGTGCTCCATTCCCATGGCTTCAGCGGTGGGTTGGGTAGGAGGGCAGGGCGTGCAAGGGATGCTGCCTAAGGGAGTAACCTTTGCGCTGGGCCTGCAGAAGGAAAGGTTGTATGGGGCAGTGAGGAGCAGGTGGGATGGGAGGGAGCAGCATATGCAAATACCCAGCACCATGCGGCCGGCCTGGAGTGGAGAGCTAAGAAGAACAGGTGGGGCTCAGGTCCGTAGAGATTTCTGTGCCTCTGGGAGGATTGATTGGGCCTTATCCTGAGGACAAAGCTAGGCTGGGAAGGATTCTAAGTGGGCAATGACATGATCACACTTGCCTTTTAGAATGATCACTGTAACCACAGTGTGGAGAACTGGTTAGTGGGGGAAGGGCCGCCAACAGGTGGGAGTCCCGAGGCTGCTGCAGCAGGTAGGAAGTGAGATGATAGAGGCCTCCCTGCCCCTTCTGTGATGGCAGCAGTGCACTGACCCTCAGGCAGCCACGTCTTCTCCACCTCCAGCCCTTGATCGGCTTGTTGTCCCAGGACTTCCCTTTTCAGCCCCAAGGCCCCTTAGTTGTCCGGTCTGTTTTCTATAAGGAAGATGTCCTGGACGTGGTTCTATAGTGTAGCAGTTAGCAAATCTGCTTTACAAGCAGAAGGTCCTGGGTTCACGCCCCAGTGGAGCCACAGTCCGTGGTCTACGGTCATGCCACCCTGAACAAGCCCGATATCTGATCTCAGAAGCTAAGCAGGGCCGGGCCTCGATAGTACTTGGATGGGAGACCACCTAGGAAGACCAGGTGCTGTGGGCATAAATAATAAAATTTAAAAAAGGAATATGTCCTTTTAGAGACATAAAAATTTATTTTTTAAAAAAACATCCAGCTTAGGAAAGGGTTTTATGGCCACTCAGTGTTTTCTGCATGCTGCTTAAGCAATGTTCACTTTCATCCGTTCAGTCAAACGCGTAATGAACCCAGGCTGTGTAGCGCGGACAGTTCCCGGTGCTGAACATTACTGGCTGGGTAGATGAGGCCTCCTCTGATGGAGTTTATAATCGAGTGGGAAAGAGAAACATGGATAAAAATAAGAACATTGCACGTATTCCTTGCTCAAAGCTGATGCTGTATAGTTTCTAAGAACTGCGTGTGTTTCCCCTCCAGTGCGGCCTATCCATTCCTCTACATCCAGCCCTGCCATCTCCATCCATGAGGTGGGACATACTGGAGTCACCAAAACGGAGAGGAGTGGCATTAACAGGCTGAGAAGTGAGATGAAACAGGTAAGACGAGCTCTCAGCAATGGCAGCAGCAGTGCAGGGAGAGAAGTGGTTTTCCTACCTGGGCTCACCTCGGAAAGTGATAGAATCCCAGAGCACGCAGCGTGTAGCACGCTCTTTGTAGAAGATGTGAGACCCCATTTGTCCTGGAATCTGAACATACCCTGTATCCAGTAGAGTCATACAAACAAGTAACTGAACCATCTCTCCGTCATATGTACCCTCCGATCACATAGCCAGAGGAATCCAGATATAGAATGGAATGGTCCTGATACCTGTATTTTCCACCAGCCACAGGTGTCTCTTTTCTTTGTTTAGTTTTATTTAATTCACATAAATTCCTTCTGAACTGACCCCACAGGACTGCAAGTCAGCAGCTTTCCAGTCCTAATGTGTTGGTAATGTACTAGGACTTGACCGTGATGTCCAGTAAAAAAGAGAATTTCCTTCTAACCATGACCTGCAGTGGGAAAAGGCACTTGGATTTTCTTCTCCATTGCAAAGGATGGCCCGCTAGATCGAGTCCGTGAGGCACTAATGGGTCACACCCTGCATTTGGACCAGTGCTTCCCTGCGTTGTCCAGAGGGTGACAGAAGTAGCAGGACAGGCATCCTTCATTTGAAACTGGTTTATGTTTATTTCCTGATGTATTTTTACTTTCAGATGACTAGGCGATTTAGTGCTGATGAACAGGTGAAACATCTTTGTCTTGTTTTGTCCTTTATTGTGTGCTTCATATTCTTTCTTCCTTGAATGTGGAAAGCAAGGCTGTGAATACAGAGTCTGAATGTGTGGAGAACTGTCCTGCCCATGAAACAGGCTTGGGTGGAGGTAACCCCTGCAGCTGTGGCAGGCAGTCCCGGGGACAGGCAGAGTACTGGGCTCGAAAGCGGGAGAAATGGCCTTGCCCCGTTCTTTTAAGCAAAATCCATTTATCGGACTTGGGTTTTGCAGGATACTTTGTGAAAGACATGGTCTCGGGCTGTGCCTTGGCAGGAATTTCTGTTCAAAAAAAGGGACATAAATAGGGAAAAGTAAAATGTGGTCATTGATTATATTGGTAGAAAGAATACTGCTATTTCTGTTCCCAGATTGCCTGGGGCGGGGAGGGGGGTATTTAACCCTGGAAGGAAAAAAAAACATTAAGAATACCATTCTTTCATATCACCCTCGTGCCATGCTTCCTCTTCCTTTCTTGCAGAAAATTAGAGTCACGTTCCTAATGATTTAATGTCTCCATGACGAGGGAGCATAGAGGAATTGTATAATGACACGCAGGCTCTCTATGTTGTCCCAGGGTAAAACACACGTGCTATCTCATTTGAATTTATGTTCTTTCCAAGTAAAGAACAGACTTTCCAAATATGTTCCTTTGCCAGCCACTCGGTGGCACCATCCCTCTGGTTACCCGCGTCCCCATGGTGGCTGCCCGTAGGGGAATATGGGTGGTTCCTTCCACCTCCATTTAATGTTGTTGTTCTTGCGTGTTATGGGAACGAAATGAACACCTTTCTTCTTCGATGGGTTTAGATTCAGTTAGCCAGTACAAGTTTTACATTTGGCCACATCCATCAAGGAAATATATTTTCTCTGTCCAAAATTTAATAGAGGCCATGGCATTTTAAATTTCTATTCACTTTTGCAAGCACACCGTGTGTGGCTGCATGTGCGTGTGCTCAGGCACTATCCCCATGCAAGTTACGGGTACATTCTAGATTTATAGATGAAGAAATACTTATTTGGCCAAAGGTCATCAGCCTGATCTTATTAGCTCATTTAACAAACGTGTACTGAATGCCAGTAGGTACTAGATGCTAAACGCTGGTTATGGGTATTTTGTTGCTCTCTGTAGATTTTCACAACTCTTAACATAAAAGATTAGCATTTCATGGCTATGATTTGGAAAATAAATTGGGTCCCAACTTGATGGAGCACCGTCACATATGACTAGAACATGGTACCATTTCATACCAAGAGAAAGGGCATTTCCCAAGTTCACTGCCCTGCCAGTCTCGAGGGCTGTTTGCCTGGTTGGCGAGTGAGAACTGTCTGCCCGCATCCTCTGCACCTTCTTTCCATGGGTGCTTTCCTGTATTGTTCTGTATTCCTCCTCTCTGCTATGTCCTTTGGTGTCACTGCACATAACTGAATGGACTCTCTTTGTCTCGTAGCTCTTTTCTGTGAGCCAGACCGTGTCCAGCAGTGCACATTCCTCCAAGTCTATGGTAAACCATTGTCCTCGCCGCCGCCTCCTTGTTTGTGATGCCTCAATCTTCTTGTTGCCCTTCTCGTGCTCCCACCTCATCCTTAACTCCCGAAGACTTGAACAGATTTAAGTGTTTCCATTTGACTGTCAGTATGAGGAGAATCTAGAAAGAAAGCCAAGAAGTTCTTGAACTGAGCTTTGTTTGTCCAGGAGCTTCTGGAACCTTTGAGGCATTGGTTCTGTGCCTTTCTATTGAGCCACGGTGGTGAACCGTTACCCGCACGTGCTGATTAATTAACGCCGTGTGCTCATAATGCCCCTGCTTGCCGTGAGGCCTCAGACCACGTGGAGTGTTCGAATTGCAGAGGCAAGTCTGAATCTTCCTCCCGAAATGAGGAGAAAACCAGCTGAGTCATTGATGAGTGCAGCTGTAATTACTTTTATTTGTGTCTAATTGTTGCTGTATTTAAATGGCAGTAATGAGCCCAATGGAATAACCCAGACTAACAGTCTTTTCAAAATAAGATCTGATGAAGTTAAAATGAGTCCATGGAGAACACTCCTGCCTCCTGCCCTGCTAGCATGCTTAACATTCGGATTTCATTCTCAAACCTTTAAATTTGATGTTGCACATCGAAAAATGAAAGTGCCCAATAGCCCAGAACAAAGATAATGTGTAGTGATGAAGGTTATTCCTTTCCGACCTGGCAACCATAGGCTTAGAATCCATCCACCGGAAGAAGACGGGCCTGCAGCCTTGGCCTGTCGGCTGCTGTGGGGCGGGAGGCCACATTCAGGCCTGGTCCCCAAGCCCTCACTGGGAGCCTCTCAGAGCTGCGTCAGGAGAGAAGATGGGCAGGATTTGATGCCTCCTCACCTTTTCTTCAGCAAAGCATGTGCTCCCGGCTCAGAGGAAGCCATTACCCCAAATGAGGATAAAGGCCTATGCTGAGAACAGGCAGAGTAGAGAGCAGATCGAAAAGGATAGATGGATGTACCATACTCTCTGAGGTCCCCACTACTAAATGTGGATCCCCAGCCTTTTTGTTTTTGGCTCTGGACCCTCCCCCACCTGCCCCACCCCCACCCCGTGTTACATGTTCTGTTCTCTGTGGCATCTGCACTATGGGGAGGTGACCAGTACTTCTCTGTGGCACTGCAGAAGTAGGCACTTTGGCATTTGTCTCCTTGGGCTGTGGTGCCTCTGGGGGACTCCCCTGCTCTGAGGGCCCTCCAGCATCAATGCCAGAAGGCCTTCGCAGTGACAGCTGGCACTTCCCCCCAGCACTTACCACCAGCTAGGCATGGTCTGGGGGTTTTCTATGTCTTCATTCAGCGAGTGCTCCGAGGCAGCTCCCTGAAGCAGGTCCTACTGTGTCCCCAATGTGCAGATGAGGCTGAGGCCCGGAGCTACTGTCAGGGTCAGGGACTCCCGCAGCTAGCGTTGAGCTGAGATTCGCAGCTGACTGCGGGACCTGCACCCTTACCCGCTCGGCCTCCTGCTCAGGTCTCTGCCGCGCTACCTCATGGAGCTGGGGAGAGTGCACGGAAACAAGTTTAGTAACCAGACCAGTGCGGCAGAGAGTTAATCCAGCTTTGAGAAATGGCCAAGGTTGAATCAAAGAACCGTCTTCCTCTCTGGGCAATTAATGATCTGATGTTTGGACTAGTTCGCTGAGCTGTTGCTGAGCTGTACTTCGTGATGGCCAGCACACCTCTGTGGCGCTAGCTATGAGCTTCTGAAGGCCATGCGCTGTCTGTCTTGCAGAGGTCCAGCACCCCATCCTCGCCCACTGGCACATCGTCATCAGACTCAGGCGGTCATCACATTGGCTGGGGGGAGCGGCAGGGTCAGTGGCTGCGCAGGAGAAGGCTGGACGGGGCTATCAACAGGGTACCCGTGGGATTCTACCAGAAGGTGTGGAAGATCCTTCAGAAGGTGAGCTTGGCCACTGTGTTGCATTCTGCATTCCCTGGGGCTGGACGACATATACTCCCAGAGAAATGAACCAACCCCACTTTCTCCTTTTGTGAGGCGTGTTGCATGTGGCTGTAGAGCAAGGCAGCACACAGTCCCCAACCCTTGGTAGCTCACAGGCTAGAGCAGGGTTTCTCTACCTTGGCACCACTGACGGATGGGACTGTGAAATTCTTTGTCGTGGGGACTGTCCTCTGCATTGTGAGATGTTAAGCAACATGCCTGGCCTCACCCACTAGATGCCAGTAGCACCCCCTCCCCCAGTTGTGACAACCAAAAATGTCTCCAAACATTGCCAACTTTTCCTTGGGCTGCAAATCACCCCTTGTTGAAAACTAGTGGCTAGAACCACAGCAAGTAAGATAAGGTGGCAGGCCAGGTTGTGCGGGGCCATGTTTGACATTTTAGTAACTTAGAAAAGTTAGAAGATCGACAAGAACCAGAGAAGGCAGAGAAGGCTTTGGATGAAGGCAGCACGACATAGAGAACTCAGAATAGCACGTCCCCACGGCCCTTAGGCTCCTGCACATTCAGGCAGGCGTGGTGTCCCCAAGTTGAGGGACACGATCAAGCGCCTCCATCTGCAGGGCATTGTGTCAGGTCCCGAGGGCAAACAGAAATGGAGAGCTTCCAGTCTGACTCCAGGTCCTTCATGCCCTGAAGGCACGAGCCCCACTCACCCTGGGCCGCCTCTTCTTCCCCACCTGGAGGACAGCCATCGGACCAATTTTCCTTAGCCAGCCGCCCACTGCGCCCGTGCCCACCAGACAGGGCCGCATTGCCCAGCTGCCCGGGGCTGTGAAACTCTCAGCAGAGGTCATCAGAAACAGATGTGAGGTGACAGCCACAGACTGTACTGCATGCACCAAAGTGAAGGAGAGCCCAGCCTGAACGCCTGTTGCCAAGGCGGGGCACGTGGGGGAGCCACGCCCCTTCGCTCTTACACACGCGTTCTGTCTCCCTGCTGCATCAGCCCAGAGCATCCGTGTCTCTCTGAGTCCCACTAGAGCTTGTCTTTTCTCTCGCCTGGAGGGACAGTCTGCCTCAGTTAAAAGCTTCTATGCAAACCAGGAACCATTGTCAGGGCCGATTTCTTTCCTAAGCTATTTTTGTTAGCTCATTTCACAGGAGAGGAGAGAAAAGTCGGCCCGAAGTAGCACATACGACAGGTCCCTTCCCAAAGCCACAGCACCACTACACTGCAATATTTCTGTGGTGGGGCTCTGGGCCCACTAGGGGGCCGTTGGCCTCTCTGCCATGTGGGAACCGGGGTCCTCCTGACTGAGCATGGAGAGGCCATAGTGGTTCCTCTCCCCGTGCAGCTGGGCTCCCGGTCCCCATGCGGGAGCAGAGCCCACAGAGGCCTGTAGTTCTCCATTTTCCACCTCTTGTCAGGAGGCACGAGCATTCGCTGCCACTCTGTCCTCAGCCCCCCAGGGACGGGGTGGGCAGCTGCTGCCAGCCAGGGCACTGGGATTTAGAAGGCAGCCAATTAGACTAGAACAAACTGTTCCTAGAAAATCTCCCCACTCTTCCCAGGGCATCACACGCTTCCATCCGGACTCCCACTGGCTCAACACCAAGACACTTTTATTATGAAAAAGCAACACTTTGTATTGAGTCGGCGCTTGATATTTATATACATGGGTGTGCATGTGCGTGTCTGTGCATGTGCTCAAGTTTTTTGTGATTGGTGCTTATTATAGAAATCTCAAAAATAGATGCCTGCAAAGGCACAGAAGTATCACTTTGCCAGCAGGAGCCATGAAAATCTCCCTTTATATGGCCTCAAAGGGGGCCTCTCAGCCAAGTGAAATGTGGAGCTTCCACAGAGGAGGACCCAGCAGCTCCCTGGGGCATTGTTCATGCGAGATCTGAAACATGCCTGCTGGTTCCCTAGAATTGTTCCATGGAAAACACAGCCTGTGGGCAGTGAGAACAGCTCTCTAAAAATAAATGACAGTCTGGCATGTTCCAGCCCTCGTGCAGGTTTCCAGGGCAGAGTGACTTGAGCGTGTGCACATGTGTGCACCCTTGTCGATCACGTTCTGGAATCTGACTAAAATGTGATGTGTGTCTTCTACTTCCAGTGCCATGGTCTTTCCATCGATGGTTACGTGCTCCCATCCTCAACAACGCAAGAGGTACGATGGGGAAAACGCAAACAGCAGCCTGCCACCGTTCCCAGCGAGCGCTGTGTTTCATGGACTTTAATCACTCGTGCTGCTTTCAAATTTCTTACATACACACAGGCCATTTGTAGCATAGGTCTGATATTTTGGGCCACTCAACCCTCAAATTTTGTGAAGTTTCTTTCCCACGTTTATTAATATCACCTTTTCTCCTTTCCTTCAGAAACAGCTTTTCTGACTGTCAAGGTCTTTAGATTGGCTCCATAAAGGAGAAAAAAGCAAAGCTGCACGCCACACTCATTAGACCCTCGTGCAGCGTCCTCTGGCCCCTCTTTCCGCTGACAGCAGTGTCCTCCCTATTTTTTTTCCTCTATTCATTCTTTTAAAAATTGATTTTTTAGTTTTTACCCTGCCCGAGGCACTATGCCACATGCCACAGAAACGATGAAGAAAGAAAAATAAGAAGTGGTCCCTGCCCCCTGGAGGTCACAGTCCAGCGGGGTAGGTAAATAAAGCTAGGACAAGGCCAACTCCTCCCAGAGCAGAGCCTTCGGCCTCCTCCAGAGGATTCCTGATGGTGGAAACAGGACAGTGGCCAGAAAGGAGGCAGCATTTAATTTGAGCCCCCAACCCAGTGGGTATTGTGGTCAGCATCAGTGACAGGGTTGTGTCCGTCCTGGCTCACTCCTGACTCTGTGGGTCCCTTCGGCAGATGACCCCACAGGAGATCAAGTTTGCTGTCCACGTGGAGTCGGTGCTCAACCGAGTGCCCCAGCCCGAGTACCGACAGCTGCTGGTGGAGGCCATCATGGTGCTGACGCTGCTCTCAAGCACGGAGATGAACAGCATCGGCGGCATCATTCACGTGGACCAGATTGTGCAGACGGCCAACCAGCTGTTCCTGCAGGACCAGGTAGGTGCGCCCGGGCCTGGCCAGTCACCGCACAGCCGAGGTGGGGACAGAGGCAGGGTAGCCAGGTTGGCTGGCATTTATCTCTATCGAGGCTGGAGGTTCTATTTCCAATGGGAAGGAGTGTTCGCGAACAAAGAAAATGTCATCACAGATGGTGAAAAATGTCAACCATTTGGTTAGAAAATGGTACAGTGGGCACTTGGGACATCTAAAGACCTTTGGAGATGGACAGGCCCATTTCAGCAGGGGTTTTAGTGTAAATACCACCCTTGCTCATATATGGCCCCAGGTAAACAAAACTACTTTCTCTGCACCTACAGTCTCGTTAGGAAAAACCATCCTCTCGTTAGAGTCAGTGATGCCGTGTGGACCAGGACATGTGGGAACCCAGTGCAGTGCCCGGAGCAGAGGCCAGTGTCCTCCCCGGGCGCCATCTGCTCTCTTGCCCCGGGCCCCGAGCTCTTCTCTGGGGCCCTGGGCCTCCGGCCCCCAGGGTCATCGCAGGGCTACACGAGCACAGTCCACTCATCCTTTGCCTCTGCCTTTCCCTGCTGCAGATGTCAATTGGAGCCATGGACACCCTGGAGAAAGACCAAGCCACGGGCATTTGCCACTTCTTTTACGACAGCGCTCCGAGTGGGGCTTATGGGACAATGACCTACCTAACAAAGGCAGTGGCTTCTCATTTGCAGGAATTGCTGCCCAATTCAGGCTGCCAGATGCAATAGTGCCTCAGCGCTCCGAGTCTGTCACCTGCCCCCTTGCCTCATTGGAAACTTCCTTCTGTTCCCCAGAACCCCCTGTGCTGTCACAAAAGCATGTCCTATCAGAAACGCTGGCAAGGAGGAAATGGCAGTGACTGACCTGAAACCAGTATGTATCCAAGCCACAGAAAGAGCCAAAGAATCCTGCGCTCCCCCACGGAGTGGCAAGGGATCATTGTCTGGGTTCATTTTGCTAGGACATTTGTCACAGCATCTGGTCTCCTGGAGCCTGAGGAGGAAGGAATTGGAAACTGGTCTCTTTTGAGCGCAGAGTGAACTGAGAAGCCAGCTTAAATTGGCTCTCACATACAGTTACAAAAATAGGTTCGATGAGCTAGTGCACATCTTAACGATCCTCCAGCAGCAGTAGTTAGACGAGCGGCCCTTGACAAGGGGAGCATCTTAACAGGATGCAGTCTGTGGACCTGTTTACCAAATAGAACAAGTCTGTCTCTCCGTGGAAGTTTGGTTTTCTTGCTCCTTGCTTGCTTTCTTGGCCTCTTGTTGTTAATATATTGGCATAGCTACTTTCATGTGACATAATTCTCTCTCACCAAGAGGTAGAAAATTGAGTTAACTTTGGCTCATGGTCTTCAAGGATTTTACCCCGGCCGCCCATGAATTAGGGGTTTCTCCTGCCGTCTGAAAAATCCCACATCTTCCAGAATCTAGCAAAATAAAAAACGATGGTGGGGAGGATTAAAATCTTCTTACAGCTGAGCCAACTGTTGTTTGGGGGCTGGAGCAGGCAGGGAGGCCCTCTGGAAGGCCTGTGCCCCCCATCCCACCCCCTACTTGGGGTAACTGCCCTAGCGGGCAAGCGACGAGTACCTCCCTTGAGCTCCAGGGGAACCACGTGACGAGTATGCAGCGCACAAACAATGCTTCTCTGTTATGTTAGAGCCGGGCTGGGGACCGGAGCCCTTCTCCTGGATGCACTGCCACCTTGATGCTCTCAGGTAGGTGTGGTTGGAGGCCTTGAATGTAGAGGAGTGAGGACAAATCCTGACAGGGCAGGGCCTCGCCAGGCTCTTGCCGGTATCCTGGTGGATGGAGTTTCTCTCCAGGCGTTGTCTTCCCTGGGGTGGTGGGAGTCGGGGCTGGGGGAAAAACAGCAACAGAAGAACTGTTTGTTGTATGTGAGGGGAAACTCGGTGGCCGCATGGTGAGCTCTGGCTGGTTAAGAGAAATGGGTTATATTTATGACAATGCTGCCTCTGAAATGGGAACGTGGCCACTGGATCTTTGCTCGAAAGTTTACGTGAAGGTGGAGAAAGCCAATACTCTAGCTGCTTTGAGGGGACATCACGGTGCCCAGCGTCCCTCAAAGTCAAGATGCAGTACTGGTGGTTATTCTGGATGCAGAGGGAAGGCCATGTGGCCTCACGTTCCCGATGCTTCCTGCTAAAGAGCCTCTCTTCAATCCAAGCCAAACGCTTTGCTGTTATTCCTGCAAGAGACAGTCTGGAACGCGAGGCTCGGTGTGCTTCCCCGGGCTCGGTGGCATATGCAGGCGCCATTCACCTGGGACGTCAATGCCTTTGTTTTCTATTTCTTCGAAACCACAGTACTCTCCTTGCTGAGGTACAGAGTAGTTACGTGAAAGAAAAGGCCCTAGAACCTCTCAGCTTCTGGCCCAGGGGACGTCTACATTCCCGCTCTCTTCCTTCCCTTCCCTTCTCTCCCCACCCCATTAATGTTGGGATATAAAATCTTTCTTCTCAGATTACTGGATCCTTCCTTTATTTGTCAGTACATGTTGAGAAAGTGTTCTCTGTGCCAGGTGTGGAAATACAAAGATAAATGAGACATGACTCGGCGCTCAAGGACCTCACCCCAACGAGGAAGGCCCATGTGAAAAGATGACCATGCTTTAGTGTGGCAGGGGAGGGCGGGGGTGGCAAGTAAAGAGCTGGATGAAGTGCAGGACCAGGGAGGTGGGGCCTGCCCAGAGCACAGGCAGTGATGGGGCACATCCCAGCGACAGCGTGGGTGCCATGCCCCTGAGCTCCTGCAGTTCCCCAGAGCCTTCCTGTCCGTGCCCCATCTCCCCTGGGAAGTCTGCTCCCATTTGCCCCTGAGGATCCAGGGGGGTCTTAGACACCCAGGTTTCACAGTAGCATTTTCATAGCCTTTATTTTTGGTGTCCTTTAGACATGCTTGTCATAAATGAGGCTCATGTAATTTACCTGGTAGACTCCCTGGTGGATCATTTCAAACACGGGTAATACAGGAAAGGTACGAGCTGTGAAAGTTCCGGTCGCTTCTTGGGAAACGGCTCAAGAAGAATTACAACCCTCCAAAATGAGCCAGGTGCTAATTTAGAACGATCACCTGCCCGTGGATGACGTGCAAAGCCACAGATGCTGTGTTTGGGCTCAACAACCAAGACACAGGCCGGGAGAAGAGCCATAATAAGCAATTCAGCCGAGCCTTCGATTCACTCTTTCGAAACTTCTTTCAAATGAAATCCTGAAATAGTGCTGCATTTCCACAGGCATCAAGCTGTCAGCTTCAAAGAAGGAGAACAGGCTTCTGAGACTTGATCTCTTTCTGGAGCAGCTGAGGCCCACACAGCGAGGAGGAACAGATGTTGGAGGGGGTTGGCGGAGGCCCTGTCCTGACCATCCTTTTCCTCAGGAGGGTTGTGGCTGGTGCACTTTCCTCTCTCCCTCCTCAGAGCAGAGAGGCCAGTGTTGACCTTTGCTGGGGCTAGAGGTAGCATGTTCTTTCTCAGAGCCAGAAACAAACATTTCTTTTAACATCCTCAGTCGAAAAGCAGCCGGTCACCCTACCAGCTGCTCTCGCTGGCTTTGACCCAGCTAAATCCAGCAGCAAGCTGAAGGTTCTGTCTCTGAGTCTGACAAGTCTTCCATCCGAGCTCTGACCTGGGTGGGTTATTTAGCCTCTGTGTACCTCGATTTGCCCATCTAGAAAATGTGCAAGAGGCCTACACACTGGCACAGGAGTAAGCCTGAGGGAGTCACAGGAACCCTCCCAACTCCCCCACCTCTGACAGGGGCCCGCGGCTTCCCGTTTGCAGGAAGCCAGATATACCCAGTGGCAACCCGGGCCAGGCCCTCCTGGCCATGCCAATGTCCCCCAGGGTGGACGTCTGTCACGTCAGCTTCTGCAGCTCTTGTGAGGTACGGTGAATGGAAGGAGAGACGGTTACACATTAGCTGCCCGGATAGAGAGGATGTAAATGCTCCCTGTTAAAAAAAGAAAAAGAAAAAAAACAAGATCAGGAGGCAAGAGAAACAGTTTGTCAGTTGATTGATGCCATTTATTTCTGGACAGGAAGACAGAAGGCTCGACCTCCCTTGATGTAAATTAGAGCAGAGCCATCTCTCAGTTCCATTGACTTGCACAAGTCTGGCAAATAGCTTTTGTCTTCTCTGCTTCCTTGTTGTCAGAGGGTACAAAAGCTTCCCACCCCTCCCTTGGCGCCATTATCTTTCAAGGTGACTCTTATGCTTTTAAAGTCCCTGCCATCTGTTCTCTGTGTCTCTGCACTTTGCATGTCCCAGAATGCCTTCTGTTCTCTGGGACTTGGCCACCAATCGCTCTGCTTGTGAGGGGAAAGTAAAGCAGCTGTCACCCTCTTAGAGCCCCCTCGTTCCCCTCAGAAAGCCATTTAGGAAAAGCCAGGTCCTTTAGTTACCAAGAGAGTCCTCTGAGGAAGAAGAAGACCTGAAATGGTAAGAGACCATTCTCTAGTCTTAGGCACTGAGTGTTTGATGGTCTGAGACAGGGAAAAATTCCATCAGAAAACAATTGTGTGTATGTGTATGCGTGTGTGTTTAAGGAACATATGTGCTATTTTGGCAAAAATGTCTTCTTAGAAGGACTGGAATAATCGGAACCAGTGAACTCTGAAGTCATGTGATTTATCCCTCTGCCTTATTACAATATGTCAACTATTCTGAAAAATGAATTGCTCAGAAAGCGTTTATTGTGCATCACTCAGCATGCAGAAATATGGAGTACTGTGGTGGGAGGTGAAAACACGCCTCTTTTGTTTGTGAAGCTCTCTAAGGAAGGACAGTTCCCAGGCCCCTGTGGAAGCATTCCTAGCGCAGGACATCCAACGTAAATCCTGAGCAGCTTCGGCCCACCTGAGCAGGGTGGCCGCCAGACGCTTCCACCTCCAGCTAGTGGTGCAGCTTCGGGTCGTCCACATGAGGCCAAGCGCATCTGAACTGGCCACGGGGCAATGGTTGTGCTTTCCATGTCTCCTGTTTTGAAAGAGCTTTCCAGATGCAAGCCCAGAATAGATACACCAAGGCACGTCCCAGTCACTGGCTCTCATCTTTTATGGCCTCTGTCACCCTTTGCTAATGTGTCAGGGTTCTTATTTACAAATAACAGAAAGCAACTCTGACTGGGTAGGAAATATGTTTCTTAAAGGGTACTGGGTAAACACATGGTCACCAAGCTTGGCAGCTCCCCAGCTAGGAACTAGGTCCCCTGTCACTCCCAGGTGCTCCCAGGCTCACACCCTGGGGCTTGCACCACAGATGTCCCCATGCTGGCCATTGTCAGTAGGATCATCGCCTTTGCTCTTTTGGAAACTAAATATAGAGGCTGCCACCTGTCACCATAGTGGATTTCACACAGCCTCTAGCTGTCAATTCAGTCTGGGGCAGGTGTGTTGCATCAGCTTTGGTCGGGGGAGCAGGCCGTTAGCTGAGAGGGGAGTTGGAAAAGCTAGTATCTGTGAGTTCCTAAAGCAGGGTTGGCTTCTTAACATGGGGGATCCCCCAGGCCTAGGAAGGGGGTTCAGATGCCAAGCATCCAAAACTAAGAATCCACTACAGCCAGGACTCGGCTTTTACTCCTTTGTCCAGAAAACAAAGACCTGTGCTCCCCACCCCTGGTCTGCCCCAAGAACTGGCATAAGAGGCATGTGTGCCCACCGGGGAAGGTTGTGCAACGGGAGGGAAAGGCATGGAGGGGACCACCAGGTCTGTGCAAGTCATCCCAGCGCCCCCTCTGGGCTCAGCTCTAACCTTTGGGTACTAAGTCATCGTGGCTGGATTGCTGCTGCTGTCCAACCCTCCAAGCAGACCACCTCCCAGCACTCAGCTCCCAAGGAGCTGTCACAACCCTCCTGCCAGAGCCCCGGAGGAATCGCCACCAGGCCTCATACTTTTTCCTGACCACCAGCTCAGCCCCAGTAGCCTTTTTCTGGACCCTGAGTGACGGCGCATCTGGGACAAGACTCAAATGATTGTCGCTTCTTTCCTTCTAAGTCTTTAGCCAGCTGGAGGATTTAAAAATAAGAATTGGAACTGCTTCGAAGTGTAAGCCTCTCTCCCGACAGTGCGGATCATTTCCCCCAGCTGTCACCCGGAATCAGTCCCTGAGTTCTTGCACACATCCGAGTCACTCTCCTGGGCTCTAGGAAGCACAGCCATGGAGAAGAGCCACTCTCCCTGCCTCTCCCCTCCTCTCCTCCCT